AACGATTGAATCTAGGGTTTTGTGATTATCGGTTCTTTATATGGATTTCTTCGTCTCTTCCGTCATGTCGTTACTTCAGATGCTCTCACCCCCTCCGCTTACCCTTTCTTCTACATTTGCATGTTGTTCTACCGGGAAAATAGAGACGACACCAGTCCGTTCCTCCTATTCAACTCCTGCCAACCATTCCTCCAGGTACAATTTAGAATGAGGTTTACAAAATTCCCGAACCTTTCTTCGACTTTATCTGTTTTACCCTTTCGTTGCTTCTCTTACTTTCCAGATTTGTTTTCAGCTTCTTTATAAGTTTTTGTAATTGATTGGTTATGTTTTTAAATTTTCAGTAAATTGCTTACACTTTTAATGGTTGGTTCCATGTGATGTTCATGTGGCTCTTTCGACTTCAATCGGTAGTAAATGGTGATTGTGGATTAATTGAGTTTGAAATATGGTTATTGAGTTTTGGATAAATAAAGACAACGATGGGACCATTTGTTTGTGCAAAGTCCAATTTAGGGTAATGTTATCAACAACCAATTTAGTTTTTTTTTTTTTTTGTTTCTTAAATTCTTTTTATTGATTTTGATTGTTATGTTTTAAGGGTTTTTGCTATGACCTTGACTTTGATGCACGAACAATTCAACTCTTTTTTAACAAACAAGTCCTTAATGCAGCGTATGTCGTGTAATTTCCGTAACTGAAGATGTGTCGTACAGAATCCAATTGCTTCAAGGCAACTTTTAAAGGCACAATAAGCTATTAAATTGATCTCCTACACTAATTGAATCAACGCCTTGATAAATGGCAGCAGAGTAAAACCATATTTTCTGTTTAACTTTTGTTTGTAAATCTATTTTCTTTATATTTAAAAAATATTTTTATAACTTTTGTTTTTCCATCTAGGTGACATTTTTTTATTGTTTGCAGTGATTTTTCTTGACATATGAACATTCATGGAAGTGAGGCTTATGGATAGTTGAGGAATAGAAAGCAAAGATCAATACCATGTTATTTTTTGGAAAGAAATGATGTTTCGGATCTTTCCTGTGGCATATTCATTTGGTAAGTTTATTTTTTTTTGTGATCTACTAATATTGCAAGTATTGCAATTTTAAATGGTTAGTTGCTTCAACGTAACTGCCCTTTGGCAGAAAGATGCGGCCTGATATCGGTCTTTGATGTTGTTTATTTCTCATTGAATAAAGGTGGAAATGATAATGATGTATCATCTGCATCAAGGTATGATTCCTTTTATGCATCTTCAACCTATATTTTTGTATGATGTATTTTTGTTATACTCTTTAAGTTTATAATTCAGTCTTTTGTGATTGGGCACCCATTTCTCTACAAATGATACATATATACATGAGTAATTAGATTTTATATGTATGACTAATTAAATTGAGTATGCGTCATGTCACAGGGGGCAGTTTGAAGCCATTGGAATTTGAGGATTCAGAATTATGACAAAGGATGATGAGACTGAACGTAAAGTAACTGCTTCACGAACATATGCAGCTTCTAAGGGACAATATCACTGTTTGGACATATGATATTACAGAGGAAGGAGGTTAGTTTCTTTTATGTGTTTTTTGTTCTTTTAGTAACTTACAAGGGCCACCGGTCGATTGGGGATGAACAATGGTGGCAGGATGAGAAAAAGTCTCTATTGAATGAAATTATGCCTCTGAATCTTGAAATTGATGAGTTGTAACGTGTAAGAGGTAACAATTCTACTCCATCTCTTTATCATATGGAGTACAATATTGACCTTTTTTTTTACTTTTCTAATTTCCCAGGCCTCACTCGAATTACATCCTTCAAAATGTTTATGGCGGCTTTTCAGCAAATCTGTATGGGGATCAAATTTGATCTAATTTTTTGTTTTTTTTTCATTAATTTGATTTAATTGAAAAAATGTTTATCATGTAAACAACAAATTTACTTTTTTGTCCCGTGCTTGCCCCTATATAATATGTTTGTTTGGTGATACTGGTAGTAACAGAACAATGTTTGAATATAGCAATGTTGCAGTTAACACAACTATCCAATCTTAAGGTAACTATGAATCTACTATCACAACAAAAACAATAAATGGTAAAATGTGATTTTTTTTATGGATGTTGCAGGTGTGAATCTTTTTCAACATAGCCACATCCAAATAGGTTGGTTACCCAGTTTTTTAGTATGACATTGTTATCTCATTATCTTTTGTTTATATTATATCTAATACCGTTACTTACATCTATTGGAACTTGGATATTACAGTTGCTTTTAAGTGTAGCAATCAAGAACAAAAATCTAATCTGGGATGGAAATCCTCAAAGGCTGGAAAAAAAAGAGTATTCTTTAACAGAAGGTCTTATAAAGCTACTCAAAAATTACAGAAGAAATCATGAGGTAGACATTTTGACGTTTTTATAGCCTTTCATGTGGTGTTATCTTATAAAACTAGATTATAACCCGCGTTAAACGCGGGGGAACGTATTAAAAAAATTACCAAAACATTTATATATATTGCATAATAATTATAAAGGAAAGTTTATAGCTATTGTTATTATTGAAAGGTGAAGAAGAAACACTGAAATCGATAAATAACTATAAACGCTGCAGGACCTCTTTGTAGACAACGTTTTTTGTTTTATTAGTTGAACGACCTTCCTCGTCACATATGAGTACCTTCAAACCTTTTTTGCTTGTTACACGAGAAACAACTACATATAACTGATCATGGGTGAAGACAGGTCTACGTAAGTATAATCCAACATTTGATAATGACTGTTGTTGACTTTTGTTAATGGTCACAGCGAAACAAACTGCTATTGGGAATTGCCTATGTTGAAAACGAAATGGAATTTTTTATCGGATGGGGTCAACTTCATGCGAGGTATATAAGTAGTCTCGTTGAAAAATCTTCCAGATATGATTCGTGCTTCAATGATGTGTCTTCCAAGCCTTACGATTTGTAATCTAGTACCATTGCATAGTCCTCTGGTTTGGTCGATATTACGAAGCAACATGACCGGAACACCTTTTTTTAGTATAAGTTTATGGTTGGGAATTCCGGAGGCCTTAAAAGCGTTCAACACATCCGAAGAGTATACTGATTCCTCAAAAGAATCTTCTGTCTCGGTCTCACATAAGGAATCTGAACTCAGATATGTTTTCCCTTCATCTTTCATCAATCAATTCTAACATGTAGTCGTTGATAGCATCAACTTCTTCATTAGTAGGGACCAAAATAGCTTTATCTTGAAAATATGATGGATCATCAAGATGGTTATGAAAAGATGAATAAATGCAAGATACAATTGAATGAATATGGTCACCCGTACCCGTAGAGGGAAAGATCATATCTTCTGGAAATTCAACTTCAACTTCAACTTCACCATCATTAGGACCACCGATAGTACCTTCACCAATTTTAAGAATCCAATCAGCAAATGATTTTGTCTCTTCGAAATTATTGTTTGGACAACCGAACTGAAGCCTCATGTTTACAGTCAAACGTAAAATTGTACATTCACGCCATAATGAATGTTGGTATTCATATATGTTGTATATTGTAAAATGTAAGATGAAGTACATAAAGTTGAAGAGAAGAGTAAAATGTATATTATAACATACCATAAAAATGATTATACAAAGAATGGAATTACAGGATATTGGTGAAGAAAATAACGAATTAAAGTTGGTTAACAAATATAGATAGTTTACAATTTTTTTTTCAAGTATGAATTATGGACGACTTGCATTATTTTTGTATTTTTGGTTTATAATGAACTTTTATACATTTGTTTTCTGTTAGTTTTTTATATGCGTTTTGTTGACACAAATCTATTTAAATGAACACAATTACACTTTTGAATGTAAATAAAATAAACCTAATTAAAAACTATAGATCACGGAAAAATAAGTATAAACAATGAAATGCGTACATTTGTGACTTTGATTAACCAAGCTAACAATTGTTTACTGCTATAGAAGACTGTAGAAAGGAAGAAGTATGGATTTAGTATCGTGAATATCAATATAAACGAAGAGGTAAAAACATAGATAAAACACAATAAAAACCCACTTTTTGCAGGAGCGTGGAAGGAAAAATAAAAATGGGTTTTGGCGGAATATGTCATATATATGTATTGAATCCAAGTTGGTTTTGGAGGGATAAGATAAAAGTCATTTTTATCTTATCTCTTAAATGTTGAATTTCAAAATGTAGTTAGGATAGATAATGTATAACATTTTAGGATTATTTTTTAAAATTTAAAATTAGGATAATGTTGATGGTTAGTTTGGAAAAAAGGATAATTTTTATAACAGCCTAAGAATATATTATTTACCAAATCGGCTCCATGACTTTATATTTAATACCAAACAGCCCCTACTACATATTGTTTATTATGTAAGCATTTTACTTTGAAAAGTGTACAAATTAAGACATCGTTTTTTCATTTTCTTATTAAAGACACATTTCATTTGGAAAAGTCATATACTTTCTTCAATTATTTGTTTGTCATTGCAGGTATGCTATTTTTGTTTTTTATAGAATTGCATGTCAACATAGTTTGTTACGAACAATAAAAAAATTATTGTTATAAAATCTTGTTTGTGGAATAACAAACTCGGTGGCTTAAGCCAAAGATTAAGGAGATTACTTTTAAACTTAAAACAAATTGACAATAATAGACTTGGTCAACATAGTTTGTTATTTAAACTTAAAACAAATTGACAATAATAGAATTGGTCAATATAGTTTGTAACATAAGTTGAGGCGAAAATATATCAAAAGATGTAAAAGTTAAAATTCATAAAACGAATTCAACATAATTATGAACTTGTCTCAAATAACACAACTACTATCGTGTTATAATTAAATGAAAACAAACATAATCTTCAAAATGAAAACAACGTACTTGTCAAAGAAATCCTTAAACAAATAATAAAAGCTCAAAGAAAAATCGTCAATGATAAATGTCAAATAATCATAACTGCTAAATTTATTCGAGTTTTTCCATTTTTGGAATCTTAAGGGTATGAGGAGCAACGCCATCTTTTGAGGAAGACCATTCAAACGATTCAGTGGTGGTAACAATCTCAATAGGGCGTTTCAGTGAAGTAGTTGTCGGTGTCACCACATCAAGATCAACAACATTAATATTGTCACCTTCAACAGAAACACTCTTTTCCTGTATCAAATTAATAAAACAATGTTAATTAACAACATTAATATTGTCACCGCATCAAGAATAAATGTTTATTAACAATGTTAAAATGCTAAATTATATGAATTTAATTTTACCTTAATAGACTTGTTGATAGGAGTACCATCAGAATGAATACTGTTTTCTTCGTATGCAGGTGAATGTTTGAAAACTGCACCAACTACAAATTCATCATTAGTCATCTTATGAACGGTGTAGGCATGATAATTGTTCTCGAGATTAAACTTTGAAATCTGAACTTTTAAAAACAAACTTCCTATTAAGCATCGTATTGAACTCATCGGGGATCTTTTGGCGTCCTTGATCCTAAAGAATATTATAATAAAACATGTGAGTAGTTAATAGATCCCGATTAAAATACAATGCAATAACAATATACAGTTAACTTGTCGTGTGTACAAATTAATAGAATAGTATAATATAACGCTACCTTTGATATGTTTTCCATCAACCAATGATTACCTCGGTGAATAAGATCTTTAACATGACGGTCAAACAATACAAAAGAAGCAGACCCAGTTTCATCTTGAACACGTATTACGACCCTTACCCTAAATATTATTGTATGACACGTTAATGGACAATGAAATAAAAATTGAAACATTGTAATAAAGATTCATGAGATAAGAAGTTTACAAATGTAAAATTATGAACTTACTTGCCGAATACATCAAAAACTCCTCCGCAACCATTACAATTAAATGGTTCACCATCACTATCATCACCATTTTTAGTTACCTTTTTTGAACAGTGACGACAATAAAAAGAATACCATCATTCCTCCAAATCGAAACCGATTATCGTAGCAATGATAGACAAACCAATTTCCTCATTGGTATATATATATATATATATATATATATATATATACACACACACACACACATTAAAAAAAGTGTTATATATAATGGAAAAATATGAATAATATTAAGTATACCTCATTGTAATCTGGAATATCATCAATGTTTTTTATTTGAAAACGGAGGTAGTAATCTTCTGGCTTGGCCACAACAGTTTCTGTGTTAAGTTGTGTAGTATTAATGGAAGACTCAACATTCAAATCGATATCAACAATGCTACATATAAGAAGGAAAAATGAAGAAGATCAACAATAATAATAATTATTAATTAAGAATATGCAAAAATAAAACAGTAAATAATTATATCATAGTCATCAAATACATGCGCCTTTTTAAATTCTGAAATATGATGCATATCATCATTAATATGCAATCTCGACCCAAATAAACAGTTACCGACTTATGGTTGACTTATAAATAGCAATTGAAGTAATAGATTATTTCATAATATAAATAAAATATTAATTTAATGAGCATAGACATCTAAAAATAATTATTCTTACCACCCCAGGTCTTGAGCTTTGCCATACGTAGGAGGATGATCACAGGAGCATTTTCATTTTGATGTTCAGATATGTAGCTATTCAACTTCAATGCAAAACCATCCCACAAAGCAACTTACATTTTCCTACCACTATAAGTGATTGTTTGGGTTATATGAATAAAATATTAAACATGATAAATTAATGAAAAATAAAGAAAAGTACATCAGATCTTGTGCAACAATACTCATTAGCCTTGTTTCCCTTGCATTCTCCTTAATCACTCTCATGGGTTCAGTAGATACAACTTGACCAATAAAATCTACAAAAAGTAAATTTGAATCAATTATTATAATATAAATTGGTTAAAAAAATATATAATATAATAAATGCAAAACTGTTAAGGGAAAAAAACTCACCAAATGCAACACGAGTGTCAAAATGTCTGGCTGTCAGATCATGAAAACTCACAAAATTAAAAGGATCGATCTTATCAACAAAAGGAGTTGATACACAAATTGTGGTTGTTTTGTAGAAATTTATCTTATGCTTGTGAGCAACCAACATCTAATCTCCTTTGTTTCTAGTCATACCAAAGTTAGTGATTTGCCTTACAGCTCCTTCTTCCAGGAGGGCTTGAAATGCATTTATGAGATTTTTTTTTGATAGTTGCATGTATTCTAGAGCCCTGTAGGTGATAAAGAATATTATTATATGAAACAAAAATAAAACATAACTTTTTTTTCATATTATTTTAATCTTACCTCATGGTCCATTAAAATCATGTCCAAGGTGCTGACCATGTTTGGGTTGTTTTTTATGTCTGTTTCCAAATCATGACAACTTGAACACGAATATTCCATGATTCTTTGTAGGCATCTATGTCAACCAGCTTATCAATGACGATTTCACTGTCACTGTTATGTGCCATTTCGCTTGTGCTATGAGAAATATAAAAGTATTAGAGATAATTATGAGATATAGTGAAAAAAGTAATTCAAAGATTCACAAGGTTTTTGTTTAATGTAAATATGATGTTGTTCAATTAACATAGACATTCTTGGTTAGCATACTTAACCATGAAAAAAACAAAAATAAACATTAATTGTATTTTGCAAAATAATAGTTGGTTGCAATTATGGATTAATGGAAGTAGGATGGTATCAAATCAAAACATACATAGTATGTTGATATATTTCACAGAAAACAACAAAGCAAAAAAAATGAGTATGAACACTTATCATATAGAAGGCTGTAGAAAGGAAGAAGTATTGATAAACAATGAAATGCGTACCTTTTTGTCTTTGATTAACTAAGCTAACAATTGTTTACTGCTATAGAAAGCTATAGAAAACAAGAAATATTGATTTAGTATCGTGAATATCAATATAAACGAAGAGGTAAAAACATAGATAAAACACAATAAAAACCCACCTTTTGCAGGAGCGTGGAAGGAAAAATAAAAATGGGTTTTGGCGGAATATGTCATATATATGTATTGAATCCAAGTTGGTTTTGGAGGGATAAGATAAAAGTCATTTTTATCTTATCCCTTAAATGTTGAATTTCAAAATATAGTTAGGATAGATAATGTAGAACATTTTAGGATTATTTTTTAAAATTTAAAATTAGGATAATGTTGATGGTTAGTTAAGTTCCCATCTTTGGTGGCTGATTTTCGATTTGAATATGGGAAGTAGTTATGATAGACGGAAATAAATAGTGAATTGTTTTGTTAGAATGACATCACTAGAAATATTAAGAACGATCTAAGGGTTGAAATCAATCAAAGAAATCCAATGAATGGTTCCAATTGTTGAAGGTGACATCATCAAGTTTCTGTTTTAATATATATAAAGATTTTTACCGATTGCATACACATTGATGCAGATTAAAAAATTGATAATTGTGGGTGTAATTAGCCTACCTAACGTTGGCAAAATCAGCCTAATTAATAGTTTGAAAATATGTTATCATGCCAATGTTGAGGCTATCCATATTTTGAATCAAAAACTTTGATTTGGTCCCATCTGGACATAAAGATTTAATCAGAATAGCCACCAACAAATCCTTTTCGTTTGTTGTTATTGATGAAAATGATGATTCTGGTTTGTGAATTTGCATATCTGTTGATTTTATTTAGTTGTTATTTCCATCACCTTTTTTTTTTCCAAATTAAACTGCATTTTATGGTTAAGAGTTTGCTAGAAAGTTAATGTTTTTCATGGAATTGATAGTTAAGTCATCAGGTTGTATAAACAAATTGTCCATGCAAGAGTATCTACATAAGACCGACCAAACAATAATCTTATATCATCATCTAAATGGGTAAGTACGTTTTCTATTTATCATCATAAACACTGCTTATTATGTTAAAAAAACTACCCCACAACAGTGTTTAAAGTATAAACAAATAGTTCATTAAAGAATATTGTGTTCAAATTATAAACAAATAGTTCATGAAAGAATATTTACAGAGAATAAACCAAAAAAAAAATCTCACATCCGACCCCGCAATGCGGGGTTACCCACCTAGTTTTACTTAAAGTTAGAGTAATTAAAAAACCTGCACCGCGCGAATTTTAATTAGAGGGATATAATTAAATAAAGGGAAATTGAGTAATCTAACCCATATAAACGTGGTTCTTTATAAAAATAACCACTTCATTTTTTTGTAAAAATGACCACATACTCCAGAATATCATATTCCAGAGCGTGTAATTTCGTTCCAGAGTTGGAATTTGGAATACGATATTCCAGTGTATTTATGATGTTGTTCCAGAGTTGGTGCTGGTTGGTGGAATTTTGGTCCAGAATTTGACACCCCGTACATTTCGGACGGATAAAGTGTATTCTGGATTGCAGTCTGAAACGGTCATACATTCTGGAGTGATATTCCGGAGAGCTAGAATTAGGGTATTTGTATGGTTTTGTTCTATATATGCAATATATTTGTGTGTTTGATACTTTCCATATACGTTCCTGAATGAGTATGTATACGAGATTTGTTTCGAGTGCCAGTTTCTAATGGAGGGAAATGGTAGCGTATCGACGGATGAATGCAATATCTTGCTCCGGACTACACATGCTTTGGTGTAGATATAAGCAATGATATCAAATATGTTGGGTTAATTACGTTGGTTGTTTCTAAGTCCAGCTTATACACTAATCAAATTCGTCAGAAACATTCGGGGGTGGAGGACTTCATGTATAGTATCACAACAATGCATAATAGTAATCAAAGTACAACAATAACCATTGTATTTAAAAAGTTATAAGTTTTACAACTGTGTTCAAAACATAATGTATATGAACTCAAAAGTACAAGTTTAAAAGACACGAGTTTATAGATCTCCGTCTTCACAAAAGCTGTGGCTGTACCTGTATTACTGTTTCCCTAAGAATACAAGTAGATTTTGAAAAGGTGTCAACAATTAAGTTGGTGAGTTCATAAGTATGTTTGTAACTGAAATCTGTTTTCTTGTTCATTGATAAAGTAAACATGTTTTTCCCAGAAAATCCTATATTTTCTGCTATGTTGTTCTGTAAGCAAAATGTGTGATACTTTCTGTACTACAAATTTGTGATACTTTCTGTACTACGAATTTGTGAAATATAGTTTAGTTCTTATAAAACCATGAAAAGTATGTTTTCTCTGTATTGAAATAGTAATCTATGTTTATACTTGTAAAATATTGTTCTATAGTCTTATAATTAAATAAAACTATGTGAAGTGTTACTTATTCATACACTAATCATTTTGTTCAATATCAAAGTGTGAGTTATTATAACCATACTAGATGACTTAGGATGGCCTGTACACGATGTTCTTCAGGCGTTGCAAAAGCTACAACATTTGTCACCACAGGTCTGTCGACCTAGCTGTTGCAAGCAGCTCTGGTGCGGGATTGTTAGTCCCATATAGATCTATACACAAGTGTCACACTCCCACTCAAGGAGATTCTAATTATAATTTCTGGACTTTTGTTGGTACTTGGAAAAGTACATGAAGATGGTCTCACAAATGCTATATTGATGATTATGCGTAGGACATTGAAAGGTTACTTTGTAATAAATACACTGTAAGTAAGTTTCATAGACTTTATAGAATATGATTCATAAGTTTGTTTTCAGTAAGGTAATCTGTATGTTCTCTAATAATTATCCTTTATTTGTTTTCCGTTAAGTACTATGTTTGTTTTCCTGTTATGTACTTTGAAACTTGAAGCTAATGAATGGGTCCTCTAAACTATACCTATTATAGTTTAGTTGTTTGTTTTACTGTAAAAATCTGTAATACTGTTATTCCATGAAAATTCTCTGTTTGTACTCATGTGGTATTAAATAGTTTGAAAACCATTTTATATTCATATAAATGTAATATTTATATAATTGTGATTAATTAGATCTTCGATTAAATAATTTTACCCCAAGCCCACAACCAAACAAGGAACATGAAATGGGGTCAAATTACATATTCTAAATCTTCAGAATCTAAATTATATAATTTACACAGATGTAAATATGTAATTTTAACAATTAAAACAATTTAAAATATACTAAAACATTTAAAAATCTTTTGAGATATTAACACAATTTTATTGTGTTTCACTTGTATCCCCCCCCCCCCCCCAAACAGTTAAAACTCATAAAACTGTAGGGGCATGAACTCACCTTTCGTGAGTGATTTGATTGAAGTTTTGATTTAGGATGGCAAGTTTCTCGAGTGAAATCCCGAAGCACAAACGAGTCCTATTTAGCATATTATGATGTAAATATGTATACATTTAGTGTTCATAATCATAAAGGTGTATAAGAAACAGCCTATGGTGTAAGAAACACTTACCAAAGAAGTGTTAGAATCGAAAATGGAAGGTTGATATGTGTTCACGGCCGAAGAAGGGTTCACGGTCCATGAAAGGTTCACGGCCTAGTGGGTGTTCACGGCCCAGTGTTCTTGATGAATGAAGAACACCTGAAGATCCTAAGCAAGTTTCCAAGAAGATTCAAAGGTTTTCGGGTGGGTGTTCTTCGCATGTTCTTCGTGAAAACTAGTGAAATTAACGGGTTTCAGTCTAGTATAAGAAGATTGAAGGATGTTTTTGAAATGATAACAAGATCAAGAAATGATACCTATAAATCCTATGAAGAACTAGTGATTATCGTGTGAATATGATGAGAAAGGATGAGTTTAGCATGTTCTTGAGGAGAGAGGATGTTCTTGGCTGATGATACTTAAGAGAGAATTCTTGATGTTCACGGCCAGAAGTGTAGAATGTGGAATAAATTAGTCTCTTATATATATATATATATATATATATATATATATATATATATATGGGGAAGAGATCACGGCCGAAGGGTTCACGTCTTCAGTTCACGGTCCGAAGGCGGTTAAGAGTTCACGGCCTGAAGTTGATCATGGCTGCGAGGGTTCACGGTACGAGGAGTTCACAGTCGTGAACCTTATGCGGCCCGAAGTGTGCGGTCCGAAGGGAAGAAAGAAGAAAAGATGCGAGGTTTCTCGGTTTTTAACTAATTCCCTTTTTGAACACACAATTCTTTTG